TATTATATTACTTTAGTCCGACATTTTTTAAATACATAGTTCATACAATAGATAATACTAAAATTATTATGAATTAGAAATGTATTGATCTAGTATTGATCTATACTGAAATGATCATGATCTAGCCCGTCTAGTCTTTTCAACTCCATGTTCACTAGCTTGTTCTGCCGTCCGTTAGTTTGTCTGCTTGTTTTAACGCAAAATAATCCGTCAGAGATTTCAGTGCAACACTTAATGCATTCAAATGATTAATTCATCTTTTGTTGGAACTGATAAGTAGTGACGTCTGTTATATCTATATTTAAATACATATGGTATACTTATCTTCCATAATTTATATGATAATCCTTCTAATTCTGGAATCAACGACCGTAAATCTCGCAGTTTCTTTGAAACACTTTTATGATATCTTTAATTATTAGCATAATTGCAAAGGAACATTTGTCATATTTAAAAAAACAGTTTTGCTTGCGATTTCCCTTAGAAATGATATAATATAACATGATTCGGCAAATTTACTGCCCCAAGCTACTAAAGCCCTCTGAAGTCTTGCTAATGCGGCGTCATTAAAAAGATACTAGAATATTTATGAATTGCAAATAATCTTCAAATTTTTTCCGTTTTACGTTTTACGCTTTCTGAAAAGCTCAAACAGAATTTCTCGGATCTTCCATATTGGCCATTAATCGCTAAAGTTATTTAGTACTTGTTCGTAGTCAGTTTTGTTCACAACGGTTAGTTCGGGATCATAGTGTTTTCCTATAATATCACTTATGTAAGAAAGTGAATGATTAATGAGTTTTCTAGAATTTTCTTAGAATCTTTACAACTTAGTATTAAGCTGACCTTAGTCAATGACATACGAATGTTTTTAATACAATGTTTATGCAATCTTTCTCCATTTGTCTCTCTCTGATATTAGTCTCTGAAAAGTCGTACTTTTCCAATGGACTTTCGGGTTAAATTTCGAACAATCACGTCTATCATAAATTTTTTTTTTATTCTGAATTTTTCAAAAATCATAAATTTGTAGTCTCATACAATGCGCAGATATTGCAGTAATGAGTGAAAAAACTGCATTATCACTCACGATAGCTCTCCAAATGATCCTTTTCCATTTTAGTAATCGTTTGAGAGATCCTCCTTACTTTATACGACCTAGTAGTACCAGTTTTACTTAATTTTTAACGCTTTTCTTATCGACTAATTTAGAACTTCAAAACTTCAATTTGACTGCTTAATTTTTAGCCCTGCAAACTTCTAACTAAAGTCTGAACTTTCTTAAAAAAATATTTACCATACAAATTAATTTTTCTGCGTTCAGAATATTTAAGCTTTTAACAGAATTGGAGTTCATAAGACATTAACATCAAATCTATTAGCTTATTTTGCGAACTTAAAAACGTACCCTCGTATTGTATATCAATTTTTTCAATATAAAAAATAGCTCGAAATTCATAAACATCATATTTTCACAAAATATTGTTTGAGCACTCTCTTGAAAAAAATGCCTATGTAAAGCAACAATAAAGAGAGTATGCCTCCACAATACTATTTTGAACAAAAATGAAAGAGAGGACATGTTTACACAAGGTTGCACCACTAGCCATTTGCTAAAATTCGTTCGCTTCACTACTCTCTAATGCTTGGTGAATCGAAGACATCTATTAATTAAAAAAACACACAAAATATTTAGCTTTAAAAATTATGCATAATCATATCAATAAATGTAAACACTGTGAACCTGTGCCGCCAAAAAAAATTATCTCCAGTCAAGTGCATGTAAATAACACCCTAAACATCGCACCTTCACAGTTATTTGATCCGCATGCCTCATGAATATGCATTTGCTATAAATTAGTAAAATATTTTGACTGCAAAAATTTGGCGCTAAATAGTTTTACATGAATCAAATATTCGCAGCAAATAATGGATTGCCAATTAACAATTGGCGCTCGCCCAAGTGGAACCCTGTGAAAAGCTGTTAGCTGCTGACTGTACTGAAAAAGCTTACCGCTTTCATATACAAGTATAGTACATACTATATCGCTCATATAAATATTTTATTATAAAATGAGATTGCATATCACCCATATCTGCTATTTTGTTCTTTTTTTTTTTGTGTTCCTAATATACTCCGTCGTGCGTTTCTTTCCGCGACAGATGCTAAAACATTTCGACGTCTATTTAATCTTTTAAAACTAATTTTAGCTTTTAAGTAAACGTTTTGTAGCCGCTTATAGAGTCTTAGCAAATAATTGCGCAGATTTAGCAGAAACCATTCACATGTAAATTTAGTAGTGGTTAGATAATTGTGATGTGCTAACAAGCTAACGCTCGGGACCTGGAGCAGCCGACAGCTATGCAAATTTACGCAGCAACTATTTTATTACTTTATGATCAGTTGTCTACGTACAACAAATAAAGTAGAGCTACAGTCACGCTTTCTGCTAGACATGCCTTCATACATATATATATACTTGTACATACTTACGCGCTTAACAGATTTAAGCGAAATGGTGTGTGTGTGCGCTGCGGCTATTTCTGAATAAAAATGTATAGACAAACATATCGCTTAGTCGTTTGACTTTATCTTGACTTAGCTGCTGTCTACAGTCCCAAAACAAAAGCTCCAAATTAAATGTAATACTAAAGTAAATATTTAATTTAATGTCTTCATTTACCTAGTGGTCTACGCCTCTTATGCATAGTAAAATGCCTCCTTTATAACGCTCTTACGACTTTCACGCTACTTTTGGGCCTTACGTGTTTGGAAAATACGTGTCTATAGTTTAAGATTGTTTAAGCGGAGGAAAATTGCATTATTTTGTGATCTCATAATCCCGTAGTCGATCTCCAAAAATAACTCCGAAAAAAGATGGCTGGCGGTGAAGAAGATCTTAAATCTAAAAACCATTAAACTATTTGCCGGATCAACTTCGAAATTTTCGAAAAATATTTTCAAATATATGTACATTCGATATATAAAACCTTTAATGTCTCGAGCTTTGACAATATGGAAGGCAATTTCTGCGAAGTGTCCTGTAAATTAGCGTAAAAAAGCAATATTCGCTCAATGCAGAGCAAATATCCCAAAATCGCAAGATGTTTTGAAAACATCATAAATTACATACAATGTCCATAATTGTATTTTTACTCAAGTTACGTCTTGGCAAAAATCTCTGGAGGGTTTCAAAATAATTTAAGAATATTTTCTGCAACTACAGCAACAACCTGTAGATTATTGACTTTTTTCTTAGTTCCATGTGTGTACTTTCAAGATATGCTGATACAAGAAAAAACCGTCGCTGCCTCTAACCTAACTGTTTCTGACAATGCGAGTCTCTGTGCAACACGTTGCGTTGGGGTATAAAATTGTGCACTTACGATCTCGCAGCACAGTTATAAATACATATATTTCCAATATTGCACAAAATCACTTAATCATCGGCATTCTTAAACTTATAGGGGTCGTGATCACACCATTAATTCCAATATGCAATTGTTGCATTTTACGCGATGTTGCAGACAAGGCCACACAAAGAATAATGTGCCGTTTAAACTATAAATATTCAATATGCAAAATAGCATGGAAAATACGTAACTTTTTTTTACAAATAATATTCTAACTGTAAAATATGTTAATTGAAAACATATATCATTTCGGCCACATGCCGCGTAGAGTAGCGGGCGCGAGCACAACGCCAATTGCATAGACATATAAATACACACACACGCATGCAATATACACACACGCACACATCGTGCATTTGTGCTTACTAAACGTTGGCATCTTGAAAAGTTAGCCGACTGTGCGGCTGTCAGGCGTTCATCTAAATAAAATGTTGTAAAAATAACATGAGATACGTGCATTGTAGGTGTACATATCTATTTGTATGTGTGTATGTGTGCATGTGTGCATGTTAGCTTCTGGCATGCAAGGCAGTCGACAAATCGCCTCCAACCGTGCCGTTGTCAGTTGGGAACACGGCAAACACTTAATTATTTAGCACCGCACATTCACGTTGGAGACAACATCATCAAACTCATCGAACAGATGTCTCCGGTATCGTACGGGTGCGCTGCGTCACGCCGCAATCACCGCTGGCGGCAAGTTAAATATTGCTATTTATGCATTTGTATGTCGTCGTAATGTGCTAATGTGAAATGCCGACATTTTATTTAAAGTCACATTTAATTTTTTAGCGAGAAATTATTTTATAGATTTTATTATAATGGGTGTAACGTTACGTTACATGCGTTTACAATGGTAGGACTGATATTTTTATTATATCACTTTCCAGTGGCATGGTTTGAGCTTAGTTTTGGAGTGTTATAATGGAGACATTCGAAGTTGGAGACATTTGAAGTTGTTATATACATTTTTGCTGTCTTCTGGCCGCTGCAAGTTTTTTTTGTATAAACTTTCTTTCATGCTAGAAATACACTCGTATGTTTAACTTGAACTTTTATCCGGTCAAGGACTGTCAACTTGGCAGCTTTTCTTCCAAATTACTTCAGGCATCATTTCTGCCGCAACAAGCACAACATCTAAAGAAGAGCTAAGTCGATTTAGCCATCTTCGTCTATCTGTCTCCCTGTATATACGCTAACTAGTTTCTCAGTATTGGAGCTATCGTTCTTGTGTAGAAAATACTTTGCAAAATATTCTTCTTTTCTCCTCAAGAAGCTGCTCATTTGTCGGTACCGCCGATATCATACCACTATAGGCTAAAGGCTGCCATACTAACTAATCGAACAATTGCCGAACGAATTGCTCAGATCGGACCATATATATATACTATATATATAGCATGTATACTCTGCATCCAAATTTACTTTAAGAAAGCTTTCGAATATTATATATAATGTTGAAATTATGCTGAAATTAGAAAATTGTTTAAAACTAGTGTAAGAAACAATAAAATCGCCTCTAACATATATTCTAAAAATATTTTTAACAATTATTTCATATATGTACATATGTCTTATAATTTCAGTGATCACATCTTTTACCGGATTTGAACAAAAGTATTGCAATTCTATTCATCTATTATTATATAGGGATACTGAGTAAGTACTTATTTATAATACCTATATATTACAATTTCCTTTTAGAATATTATGTCTGTAATCAAATCTGACATATAGATACTTACTTTATGAGCCAATGAAAAGTGGTAAATCGAACAAACAACTAGTGTTCAATCTACAGAATCCAATAGAGATAGCATAGCAAGTAATATGCCACTTCAATGACTATAATAAGGCATTCCCATACTCTCTTCTATGGCATTCTACTATTGCTTCTTTCCTTTGCAATATTTTGGACACGAGAGCAAAGCTCTCACACGCTCTTATTCATTTTTGTTAGAATACAATCACTTAATCAAAGGACGACAAATATTCACATAGTCCCTCGAAGTATTTTTGGTAGATTCAGTCGATAGCATTCTATATGGTTATGATTTATTATTTCCAAATCAAAAACAGGGATTCAGAACAGTTATATTCGGCACAAGATAGAATCAATATAGTCATAAATAAATAATTTAGTTAAAGAATTGCTTAAAAATATTTTTCGAATAAATGTTTGAAACATTCAAGACTTCATCGGAATTCTTTCATATAATACTAGGCGGTAATATTTTTTTTATTTCCACTGATAATATTTCGTATAAGTATCGAATTTCTGACCAACCACCCCCGATCCCTTACTAAAATTATACCTAATTGAAATTTTGTTGCATATTTTGAGGCTTCAACCGCATTTAAACTTTAAATTTTGTCAAAGCGTTAATGTTATAATCTGGCATTACTTCCTCAGAGAGTATTGATAAAAACCTTAATTTGATTTTATTCAAACGTGTTCTCTAAACAACGGCTTTTTATGCGGTATAACTGTAAATTTATTTATTCGTTTCTAACACTATTTTAATGAACCACTAAATCTTACTATAATAATAGTGTACGCCAAGGTTTCCAACTGTGTTATAAAATACTGCATTTAAATTGTTTTCAAATAATTTTATTGAAAATATATGCCCGCATTGCCAATTGCGAGTGTCAATGAAATAACACTTAGACACTTGATTAGTTGAACAGACACCTGTCCGTTACGGCGGTGTGCGCTACGCGCTGTTCACGCTCGACTGCGTCGTAGCTTGTAATTGGGTCCAACGCAACGTTCACATGGAAATCTTTTCAAACATTTAGTCACTTTTCTAAATAAATATATATAAATTTATATACGAGTATATACTTATAAATGCAGTTAAAATTACATATGGCAATATGTGTGTGTGTAGCTGTCGGCGCTTCTCCATTTGATGTCTACATTATAATTATCGCCTTACATAATACATATATATTATATATGTTATGTAGCGGTGTACTGTATATTTGTTCATAAACATATTTACTCACTAACCACTATCATTTCCCCTGCGATTTGCATTGGTGTTGTTGCCAGCTTAGCAATTATCATATTAATTATGTAGCAATTTGTATAATTATACAAATCAGCAATGCCGGAAAATAGTAAACGTTTTCATACACAAACACATTCACACACATATACAAACAGCGTTTACGTGATTTGCAGTCAATATAGCCGGAAAATACGTTTGAAGTGCAACAATTGTAGGAAATAAATAAAGATTGATGTTTTCATAGCTTTTCCCATACAAGTTATCGATATATTAGTTGATCGATAAATTATTGATATATTCGTTGATCGATAAATTATCGATAAGTTATTAATTATTAGATAAAGCTTTTGGCCGGAATTACCTAAGCAGCCAACCGCTAGGCAATTTTTTCGCTTTTGTGACCTTCAACTGCCGTTTTTTAAGAATCTCGCTATGAATCACGCTATGAGTAACTTCATACCCAAAATATCCATATTTTTGTTGATTTTCGTTGAGAAATGCGAGATATTGCTAGTCACTTTTATAACATTAACGCTTATAGGATGCAATCCGAACACACATTTCTTCAGATATTCGTTAACAAAACAGGTTAAAAGAATACTGTGATCCTTCGATAAAATAGGTTCTCCACAAACATCTCAAATATTTTCCATAACTCCGTAACAGTTATTCTATGGAAAAATAATCTAAAAAAAAATTCGGTGTTAATATTTTTGACAGTAAAAATAGTCGAAAAAGAGGTCGTAGGATAGAAATAGCTAAAAAACATATGCTACAACTCGTTCCATCGACAGTCGGGGCTTCGTAACAAGAAAAGACGCTCATTTATATAATATCTAGTCATCTCAGAAGCATACTTTAGTATATGAGAGAGAGCGAAAGACAGATCTGGGAAGAGCGAGAAGTATATGAAAGAGAGAATAAAATTTGCCTTAGAGAGACAGATATGAGAGAGGAAAAAGAAAGATATATTAGAATTAAAGTTTGGAGGCCAATTGACATTCAGTTATATTCGATTACACAAGAGAGTAAAATTAAAAAACTAATTAATTGCACTTTTTCAATTAAAACAAGCGTTGAAAATACACAGCAATAAAGCAAAAAACTCTATACTTTTTTAGCTACAATTCATTTTCGAAATTTATAGGCCACGAAAAATGTTTGCACAACTTTTAACTCACCAAACTTTTTTGTTGTTGAATTTTCTATGCAACAAACTCTGCTGATATTTGCACAGATTTTGGCACATTTGCGCGGGCACATAAATTTCCCGCTATGTAAGCAAAGGTCAACTTGCAATTTTTTAAACATTTTATTTCTATTTTGTTTTCGAAAGCTTTGCCGCCCGCCGCCCTTTTCCACAGCACGATAAAATGGCAGTATATATGAATGTTAGTATGTCCGAGTTTATGGAAACAGTATGAGACCCGTTGTTTGTAGTTGTTGTTGTTGTTGGTATTAATATTGTTGGTGTTGTTGTTTGTCACATTCCTCTACGGCCCACTCCGGGATTATGGTTGCACAAACAAACACACGCACTTGGCAATCGCTGCTGCATACATCCTAGCCACCATGCGCTTCACGCTGCGAGCGTTAAATATCCGCTTAAATTAAAATACAACTACAACAAAAAATAAAAAATAAAAACCAAAAAAACGACTGGCAAATCACAGCAAAAAGCGAAAGGAGTGCCTGCAGATTGCCTTTAACTGTGTTGCCAATTCATTTTTCGATTTTTTTTTTTCATTTAACAATAACAACAAACATTGCAACATTGCGTGCGTCAACAACAACACGAACAATTGTGCGTGTGTTGTTGCTAACAGCAGGTTACTCGAGCGCGCTGCGGTTGGCGCGTCATTTGGCGACAGCGACTAGCAGCTTTGGCAATAACACCAACAACAGCGGCAACAACAACAACGCTTGAAGTGCAAGAAGACAGCCGCAAGCTAAGTGCTAAATACCATAAACCGTATATCCGCGCGCGTGGCTACACGCCACAGGCACTCTGCCGCATATGTGCCATGCACATACTCCTCCTGCCACCCCAAAACCCCTCTCTTCCGACTGTGTTGGCGCATAAATATGTATACGCATGTGTTGGCTGTCTCCGATGCGTGCTTGTGTGTGTGTGTGTGTGTGGATGTGTTAGGGGCTGTCTGTTGGCGCTTTGTGTGCAACATGGCGGCATTTTGTCGCCAATGCAACAACAAACAACCAGCCAACACGCTGAACGTGCAGCGGCTGTCGCAACCCGAAGAGGCAGCTCCACACGCTTGCCAAAAAACCAAAAAACCAAGTGACAAAGTCCATTCCACAAATAAAAGCCGAAATATTGTATGCGCGTTTTGTTTTTGATCGTTGTTGTAGTTGTTTTTTTTTAAGGTGAAAAATAAAAATCAATGCACATTTTCTAAAGCTGCAAAAATTGCAATGTCTCACTTGTTGTTTGCTCTAGTGCTTTACTACTTTAGTGCTGAGCATGTTGTAGCTGTCAACGTTGCCACCGAATTTCTAGTTCGCTTTCGGTTTTTTATTGTTGTTGTTGTTTATTTAGCAACTTTTGCCTTCGCATTTGACAAATTGTACGCTTCGCTGGTGCGTATTGCTGGCAAGTCCTAGTGATGACAGCGCGCTACAGTGCTGTGAGGTTCAGATGGTAGAGTTAATAATTTCCATTTTTTATCCAAAATTCTTTCATAGAATTATATAAATGTTTTAAATACACAATTCCAAAAAAAAAATGTTTCTATTTAAATGTATTTGCTAAGGCAAGCGGCTATACGAATAAACACAAAAATATGTGTATATAGTATACATATACCATATATAATATAATATCAGTATTCGCCCTAAAATACATTTTTCAATTTAAAAAATAGGAACCATGATACTATTAGAAAACCACGGTTATTCTAAAAACAGAATAATTGCTGGCAATCCTCTGACAATAACCAAAAATATGATACATACCCAAACCGAAAATAGTTCATCAATTGGTTCTTCTTCTGCTCCAATTTGATGCCAACTCCAACTACGTGCGATAATTGAAGCCATGATTTTTCCTTCCTTAAATTTTCCTAAGTTATAGGAAGTTGCATAGTCACAATATCAGTATTTTGTATTGCATGTGACTACAGATCTTGAGCAGTTGCTTAAATTTGACATTTCTGTATACTATAACAACGGATGGTAGTAATATATAATACACCAAAAATGGCGAAGCTCGGTTACGTATGTTCAGCAGCCAGTTATCATTCATAACGAAAATTGAGTCGCAATACATAATAGAAAAGTAAGATTTTTTCATAAATGAATGTAAAATAACAGATAGATATTTTCATTAAACATACTTTGTTCCTTCATTTATCAAAATCCCACTCATTTTCTCTGATCAAAATTTATTCGCAATCTATAAAAATTTAATAAATTAAACCAAAATGAACGAGAATCACATTGTGTAAAGTCACAGAGCTCGCAAAGAAACTTCCAAAACGATCCGGAAATGACAGCACGATATTTACGCTAGAAATTTAGGCGTTAAGCTCTCGTCTTCTTCAGAGATATTTCTATAATTGCTTGAATAATAATAAATCTGCGATGTGTTTAATTAACCTTGAAATCCCAAGAAACTAAAAAAAG